ATGTCCCAATTTCCTGATATAAGACATTTTCGGAAAAACCGGCTACTCAAGAGCCAGTAAATTAGTAAAAACGACTGATACGTCAGAGGTGGTAACCTCTGAACTATAACACAAAATTGCATGGATGATTCCACTTCAGACGTGAAAATGACAGTGAAATTGTCACAATAACTACCTACCCCGACTGGTATGTCAGAGGTAATCAAAATTAGGCTTGAGTGGTGTTGTGAGGCGGAAGAGCGCTGAGGAATCGCGACCGGTATGTTACCGATCGCTCATGACGCATGAAGGCCGAAAAAACGACTCAACAATAATACATAAATAAATAAAAAAGTACATTTTTTTGTTAATATAATCAACAATACTATAATTTTAAGCTTATATAAAAACCATAAATATTTAATAAAATGTCTTTACAAAATATATATATATGGTGGGTTGGTGGGGGGGGGGGGGAAATCTACCCCCCTTTTTAAGCTCCTGAGTATGCACGCCCTCATAATTGTGCTAATGCTAGCCAAATATTAATGGTACAAGGAATGAAAAATAAAAATATGAACTTAACTTACCTATACGTCTTGTTGTATATTGGTAATCGGTATTAATAATAATTCTGTAAATCATAGGAGGAATATATGCAACGAAGTAAACAGGAGAGACACCGTAGGAGATGCAATTAAATATCAAATATCTTTGAGAAATTACTATAAGAGGCTTTACGATGGGACCACATATCAACTTGGTAGAAATCTACAACTACTCTGATTCAATTATTTATCTTAGTTCTTATCTTAAGCAAAAAAATAAGATGAGTAGGTACAATATGTAATATTTTATTATGATGTATACTAAAATAAGTAATTAAAGTTATGAAAGCAATTAGATATATTTAAAAAAAAATTAATTTTATACTATTAATGTTCTTTAAATCAAATGTTTCATTTTGTATGGGTGTATGGCACACACATTGCCAAGCATTATGTATATCATATTATTATGACAATTGTATATATTTGAATACATTGATTTACATAACTATGTTTCATTCATTTTAAAATATTAAATAATAAATAATTAATCTGGAATTTGTCAATTACATTGTATAGTACAGTATACATTTTATAATAATGATTTGAATTTTGAACATTGAAAGTACGAGAGACATAAGTGATGGTGGTATACTTTCTACGCTTGTACATATAAAAAAACAGTTGATAATAACTAGTTGTATTTGTAAACATAATTTGATTGAATCATGAAAATACATTTTCCCAAATATTATATCCATTAATTTTTAAAATAATTAGAAATTGTTCTAGGTGGGGTCAATCCGTCAATGTGGACACAGTAATGTACTCACAAGGTCTTTTACTAGAATTTAAATCCCTGAAAAATAGTTCAATGAGTATAATACAATTTAGTGACCATACTTCTATTTTTCCTGTTACATATGATAATATTATAGTTGTTAATTGTTATAGATACTACAAGTGATTTAGAATTTATGAATTAGGTCATCGTAAAAATAATCAGTGGCATACAAACAAAACGCATATCCTCTAACTTTCTCAACCTCCTTTTTTTTTGTGTAATTATTGGTATTTTTTTTTAACTAGTTAAATGTTATTTAACAAAATATAAATATTATATCAACTTAAAAAAAAATATTTTTATTCTTAAACGACTTAAACTTGTTTAAACAATCAATAAACATTGTTGATTTGACAATTTTCTTGTTAATATAGAACCAACAAGGCTTTTTTTATCAATTTGACAATACCTATTGTAACTTCTGATACTGTTAAATCAATTAATGAAAATTTTTGCTTTGACAATTTGTATAATTATATATTTATAAATCATTATTGATACTATAATATTAAATACATTATTGATATATTGTATTATTATTGTTGAATCAACCAATATAATGGATATTTTTTAATATTGTTGTCTTTAGAACTATCCAAATAGTTGTTAACAATAATTACTTGTTGTTAATAATTAGAAATTAGGATTATAACATGTTACATTTTAACTGTATTTCTGCATAAGTTAATAACAACCACTTAAATTCTTATATTAGACAATTGTGCTTATGTTATTTTATAAAATGACTTTGGTTAATTTTTAAAACAATAGTTTAGTGCTTTATGAATGTCCAATTATATATTATAAACAAATGTCCAAAATTGTAGATTACTTTTTCTGTACCTACATTAATATATAATGTAGGGAACACAAAAATACATTAACTTATTTACACAAAGGCCTCCATTTGAAATTATTATACATTATTTTTATTTACAAATGTGTTTTTATCTCAATTGATATTTTTTAAAAATTTTAAGCATAAATAAAACATTACATAACCTTAATACAGTTTAATATAATAGAATTCATATTATACTGCAAAACTGAAACAAATAAAACATTAATTAGATTATTCATTAGCTAAAATAACTGAAAATTGAAATTGATATAAATACTTTTTTAGTAATTTTAAGACATTTTTTTCCTAGTTTTATTATGAGCAAAATCGTTAATTATTTTTTCAATATTTATATCTTGTTATTCTTTGTTCAATATTCAATTACTTCAATACAGCTATGTTTGATAATAGTTCTTGAGTAGTAGAATTCCTCATATAATTTTTTATAAGTTTCAATTTCTAAAAAGAGCGTTTTTCAGAATCTATACAGTCACTGGTAATGTTAACGAAATATAAGGAGTCATAATGTCACTATAAACTAAACAAAAATCATTTTCTAAAAAAAAAATCACTAGTAAGACCTCTTATGGTCTAGTACAAAATATTATCTTCATAAATATAATTAATAATATAAAAACATTTTAGATGTTGGACACAACTTGTTGGTATCGAAAAAAATTAAATTTTCAACATATTGTGTTGTAAATTAAAATAAAATTTTAAAATCTATATTCCTTTGTGTCTGAAAAGGGCCCCTAAATATAATAATGGGTCCCTTTTGGGGGTGCGGTGCACCCCCAGCACCACCGCTAACTGCAGCACTGGTGTTGACAAAGGTTATTAACTTAAAAGTTAAAGGTATCTGTGGTTAACTTAATTTTTGAAATGTACTCGTGGTAAATGCCTGAATTTTCTATTTTATGACCCGTTTATTTGTTATTCCCTGTTTCTACAATGACAAGTATTAAAGAAGTAAAAAACATTCTCATAAAGTTGGAAAAGTTGTGTAATTTCGTTAACTTGTATGAAATTGTGAATTTGTTGTTGTTTTTTTTTTTTATTGTTGTTAATATAATATTTTCGAAACGTCCGGTATGTAGTCTAAAACTATGCATAATCCACTGCACAAGGATGATATACTGGCTTTGTCTTGTAAATAATTATTTATGAAGTTGATTTTGTTATTTGTAAAAATTTCCAGTTGATTTATATTAAGGAAACGTTCCTGTGTTCTGTTTACCTAAGCAAATCCACCGAGTACGATATAAACGACGAGTCAGTAATCTGTGAATCGTGACAAAACTAATAATTTATTATGATTAAGAAGACGCTATAACATTGTGCTGTTATATTAGGCGATCATTTCATCATAATATGTATCATAATACAATTATCTAATGACCATAAATCAAGACAAGTTTATTTTAGTCATCGCTAATAATTATGAATACAATATATTAGCCTGCATTTATTTTGTATTTTGTAATAATATGTATCTATGTTATCATTATTTCATAATATAGGTTTACTGATAATTTGTAATATAAATATGTTTAAAATAAACAAAATAGCACTATTTTCATATTCATTAGTAATCAGGTACATATCAAATAGTTTTTATTTGTTTTGACAGGTATAAGAATTGTGAACTCAATTAGTTATTACTTATATAATTGTTTACGAATTAATAGATTACTAATAAGAACATAAAAAAGGAGTAAAAATCTGAAAAGTCCAACTATTTAATTTAAATATTAAATTGTAAATTGTATTTTAAAAATATTTATATTAATTAATTATTAATTATTATCCTAATTAGTTTTCAATTCTGAATAAAAATATTTATACAATTTCAATTCTTAGATAATTAATAAATATATGAAGTCTAAAAATGTTCACTACTTGTCAAAATAGGGTATAATAATTATGAGATCAATTACAACGATACCTTTTTTTTTATAGTTGATTATTATTCACTAAATTAGATGGATATAGCTGAGCTAAGTACTTGAAAATTTTAGAGCAGTTTTTCAGACCAAAAAACAAATTATTCAGAGTATGAATGCACATAAAAATTACTATGGCTTATCCCATTATTACTAATAAAATATAAAAAGCGGGTAATTGGATGTCGCACTGCTCTACAGTAGGTTACAAGTGGGTCGATGTATAATGGATTGTATTAAACCTGAATTCAATGATATAATATCATTGTATAAGAAAAATGATTCTGAGTGGAGATGGTTTGTCAGTCTGGATTTTTTATATTGTTATTATTTATTATAAGTTGAATTAATATTATAATATTATTATTTTTGATTCGTTGCTATGGTGATAAACAAAGCGTTAGAAATTGAAATCCCATTTTTAACGGTTTTTAATAATGTGTCAGGAGTTTTTCCTATGGCATTAAATAACTATTGAGAAAATCGAAAAATGACCTCTCTAAAGTACCATCTTGATCTAATTTGTTAAAAGATAAGGTACTATATGTTGAAATCTAAGCACTCTTTCTGGTAGACATTTTGTATACAGGATAAAAACAAAATAAACGCCAATGAAAACCACTAGATTCCAGGCTCAGCTCAGAATCTAAAATAATTCACTTTAATTTTGATAACTTTATTAATTCAGTCAAATTAAAAAAAAATAAATTATAGAAGGTATTATAATTATAAATAAGTTAATAAGTAGGTACCTTAATACTGTGTAAATATATTAAATCATTTAATTATATTTTTTCAATCATTTTTTTACTAAATATTTAGTACTCATATGAGTTAAAACTTCATTCAGCTCCACCACTCTGAAAAAAATAAATATTACTGTAACTAAGAATACAGTTCTTATCTAAATGAACTACAGTAGAAATCATACTATACAATAACTAAAAACTGAAAAACCAAAAATGAAAATATTTATCCGCTTTGTTGAATTAACTGATTTCTACTGTATCATAATTTGTTTTAATTCACATACATTAATAGCATTTATTTCAGCATCATCCATCATTACTCTTTTAAATTTTGTAGGTAGTTGATAGTCTTCTATCGTTTGCACAGCACCAACTGTAGAAGGTGACGGAGTTGATTCAGATTTATCTGTAATATAAAGTTAGATTAATACTTTAAGATCCAATGGCCTTCTATCAATATACCAATTTTATAATATTTTAATTCAGGGTTGGATGAAATTGAACCAGAGTTACAATAGGTAGGATACCAACTACTTATTTCTTGTAAATAAATAAATTACTAATAGCTAAATTGAAGTTGTTATTATTTAACAGGTTTTTAAAAATTGGTTTGTAACAGCTGAGTAAAATATCAGTTTTTTATTTTCTAATGCTAAAACTTTGAAAACCAGTTTACCCCCCAGGCTCCAATGACCAATATTGTCAAATTGAGTAAACAATTTCTGTTTGGATTTTGTAGTGAACATTTAATTAGGCCAATATAGTTAGAAGGTACTGTTGAATTAAAGCCAACAATTGTTGAGGATTTGCCAAATGAAAACAAATACCTAATAAAGCTAAGAATATTACTAAAGAAAATTAAAAATAATAATCACTATTATAGAGCCAGGTACAAGTTACTTACACTTCCCAGAAAAAAATTTAATTTGTTGAAAACGATATATTTTAAAATACATATTACAATTTGGTGGTAAAAGTAAAATAAAGCCTAAAGGTGTTTTTACAAAAAGCAATCTCAATAGTACACACATAGATTTGACGTAGGTACCTTTAAATTGCTTACCATCACAATTTATTATTATTAATAATGTCATAAAGAAAACTGTACATACTTATCACTGGGACACCATGTCGAAACTGGATTAATGGCTGATGAGGTTTTACTGTCTAAAAAATATATAAAAGACAATTTTCATATTAGATAAAAAACATACATCTATAAACAGAGCTGACAACATGATGTTTTTATATATTACTAAGGTAGCATAATATTAAAAACTTGTTGGACACATATTTGTTTCAGAATAATTATGTGCATTCCAAACTCCATAATAAATTTAATCGTTAAATACCTATTTGTGCAATTAATTGGCTTTTAATTAAGTAAATTAATTGGCACTTTAAACTGAATACTGATACATTCTTAGAACCTGCTTATAACTTTGTTCAAACCAACAAATAGGTATAATATTTTAATTATTATGTATAACTGTATAAGGTATAATGTTTGAAGTTTTTTTTAGAGGTAACTATTGAAAAATATGGGTAAAGGTACTAAAAATAAAACAGAATACAAATCAGGAAAGATACCTAGTTAATATTTTTGTATTTGTAGTCACTGTATACTGAGTATGTAGGTATGCTGCTTATAAACTTATCAAATACTTAGTTAATAGACTATGTAAAGGTCATAAGTAGGGCTAGGATTTGTATGCAATAAAAAATGGTAAAATATGCATTTAAATGTTTATAAGATAAACACAACAATATAGTTACAAAAAAAATATTTATTTGTTGAAATACATCAGTGATTGGCTGTTTGTCTTAATATAATAAAATTGAGAAAAAAAAAATAATTTAGAAACAAAATTTATGGTTCACATTCACCACGTTTGTTACATGCTACGACCATATATTTTTTTAAATTGAATGAAATAAAATGAATGTCAAACTATTCAATCTTTTATTGCATACCTATTGTGCCATAGGATTGTATTTATAAAAATAAAATTTATGTTTAACAAAAAAACCAAGTTTTATGAAATATACTATAAAACATGCATTTTTTGCATTCTTATAATCGAAATATGCAATAATAATATGCATTTCATCCAAAATGAGCAAAAACATGCAAAATAAAAATACCACCATTTATCTCATAATGAGGTGATTCATGGACATTACTGACAAAATCAATAATCAGAAGTCTCAAAAAAACATGCTGTTGCATATAAATCTTAGCCCTGGTCATAACCAGTTTCATATCCAAAAAAACAAGCATTTCTTGTTGATCTTATTCCAACTTGTAATGAATAATATGACAAAACCTAAAGGGATAGAAATAAAACTTAATTGAATATTTTGCTTCCATATTGATATTTCAGTCTTTTTTAGTATTTTTTTTAAATAAACCCAGAAAAACCAGAAAAACACCATGCAATGAACGCAGCAACTAATCTAACTATTCTATTTTTATCAGGATTCAGGATAAGTTTTGTGACTAATTTTGAGATTTGTCAGTTGAATAATTATTTATATTAATATAAATATATAATTAAAATATTAATTTTGAACACGTGCAGTTCTTGGCCCTATCAATAACAATCTTGTGAATATTCTCGTCACATACTACTAGGTAGTTGGTTGAAACGTACCTGATAAAACCGAACAATCATTTTGGTATTCATGATGGACAAAGATGATGCGTAACAGGTAAAAGGTCTGGTCTGGTCTGGTCTGATTTTGTTCTAGATGTCGTAGAAAATATCAATATTGGAGACAAAACTAAAACAATAATTTGCACAACAAATTAATTTTAAAAAATACCGATATGCAGTAACATATGAATATTGACCCTACTTGACTACTATGAAGATTGAAGGTACACTACTAACTACACAGAAATACACAATGGCAAATACTCAGAAATCAGAATTTTAGAAATCATAATACAAATATTAGAACTGTAATTGAAATTTAATAATTTTATACTATAATAATTTATATAGTGATATTTTATTTTGATAACAATAATTACGCACTCTCCACCACTAATCAGCAGCTGCAACTCAATCCCTTAACAGCTGATGTTTAGGTCAGTCGGTCGGTAGAATAAATAAATACGTGGTGACAACCAAGATACGCATTATCATTAATTATCATTTATGTAAACATTCCCATTCTCGTAGTCGGCAACCGCCAAGTGCCAACCGACCATTGCCAGTTGCCACATTCACATTTCGCTTCGCTCTAACCCTAACGCTGTTGCGGCACTCGTCACTCACGAGTTACGAGTTTGTGAAGATTAAAAAATTGTGGATGTGCCTACGTATACAGTGGAGTTTTCGCCTTCACAGTTCGTGGAATTGGATGATATGACGATTGTATTTTGAATATTTTCGTCTGACTCCCCTTGTTCCAGACTATGTCTCCTCCGCCAGATTGTCGGTGTTTCGACGAATGGTCCACGATCAAGATAGATATATAGTCGGACTTCAGTAAGCTACGAGTACTACAAGTCAAGTACATGTGGTGGTAATTTAATGACCGAAGTTAAAGAAGAAATAGACCTAGAGATACAAGTAGAGACGATGCAGACCAATCACAGCCGCAACTCTACCCTGAAAGTGATCACTTTGGTGACGCTAACTCTTCAAAATGCCATGGTTGCGCTCAGCATGCGCTATGCACGGACCAGGCCTGGAGACATGTTCATATCATCTACCGCAGTCGTCATGGCCGAAGTTGTAAAACTCTCTGTTTGTCTGGTACTAGTATATCGAATAGAGTCTCTGTCGTGGAAACATTTTATATCGATATTGAATAATACAATCATTAAACAACCGATGGACACTCTGAAAGTTTGTATACCATCTTTAGTATATCTGATACAAAACAATTTACTGTATATCTCCACTTCAAATTTAGATGCAGCTACTTATCAAGTCACATATCAACTTAAAATATTTACGACAGCCGTGTTTTCTGTGTTGATACTGAAACGTAAACTATTGCGACATCAATGGATTGCATTAGTAATTTTGATTTTAGGTGTCATTCTTGTTCAGCTAAATAATTCAACTGACAAATCTCAAAAAACTTACCCTGATCAAAATCGAATAGTCGGATTAGTTGCTGCTCTCATTGCTTGTTGCTTGTCTGGATTTGCTGGGGTTTATTTCGAAAAAATACTGAAAGGAGCTGAAATATCAATATGGATGCGCAATATTCAATTGAGTTTTGTTTCTATTCCGATAGGTTTTATCGTGTGTTTTGTTACAGACTGGAATAAAATCAACGAAAAAGGCTTTTTTTTTGGTTATGACCTTTACATAGCCTATTTGATAAGCTTACAAGCAGCTGGGGGACTTATTGTAGCAATGGTTGTAAAATATGCTGATAATATATTAAAAGGTTTTGCTACTTCTTTAGCAATTGTTGTAGCCTGTGTTTTCTCAATGTATTTCTTTGATTTTACAATAAGTATTCAGTTTGTTGTAGGCACAATGCTTGTAATGTGTTCGATATTTTTGTATAGTTATACCAAGCAAAAAAAATTACCAAACCTAAATACCACACAAAGAGCATAAAAAAGCTATACACTAAAATTATGATAATGTTTAATGTAAACAAACAACTTAAAAATATAAGAAAATTAATTTTTTATAATATATTTGTGTATATTTTATATTATAACCATTGACGGTTTATATAATAATTATAAGTTATAACAAATAACAAATATTTTAAATGTTTTATAAAAAAATGATGTTTTGTTTAAATTACTTTCAAAATGTACAAATTTAGTATTATAATTTATAATTTTTAACATACTTAAGTCAAAAAATTATATTATTATATAATATACTAAAGTTGTTTTTTTATATATATACATAACTATGATGTTATACTTTATTCAGAGTAAGATTGAACCACTCAGCCGACCAAAACACGTTTTTTCTGCATATTCCCGCCACAATTCTGACATTGGTGAGAGCGTTAGCACAGGTGGCTGGTGATGACTGTTGGCCAATCACAGAACGCATAGCCATTGTATAGGGGGTCTGGCACTGTCCGGCGACTCAGTCTGCACACCCAAAGCGGTTCAATCTTAATCTGAATAGAGTACAGTAATGAAAATAATATAAAATAATTTTAAGAATAAAAAATGTAAATAAACTAATTTTTATTAATAGCGCAATAATGTATTTCATTATATTATGGCTCAAATATTGTTTTCATATATTTATATCTATACCTAACTTTTTATATTAAATTGACTACCTACCTATATTCATTAAATTATAATATTATATTATAGATATATAGACATAAGTAAATAAATTCATCTACTTAAGCAAAGTTGTTACTTATTAGTCATTAGTATTACTGTTACGTTATTAGTTATGCTTATGATTTATGAATGTATCTTTACATTCACATTATATTTATTACTGTTTGTTTTCTTCAGAATCTTTATACTTCAACACTATAATTTATAATTACCAACTTCATAATATAATTAACATGAATATTATAATACTGGTATGTTGTATCTATTAATTGAAAACCCCCTTTTTTCTAAAAAAACAAAACAGAATGAAATTAAATACTATACCAGTATAATTTTGCATAATGTATTTGACTATATTTTTGGGTATTGGAACAGTTTGTATAATGTTAATTTATTGGAATGACGATAGACAGTAGTCAACTATGCATTAATTTTGTAATAATATGAATATTGAAAAATCGTGAATTATTTTTTTATTGCATAATACCTATGTATTCAATTTATACATAAGGTATAGTTGTCATCTCATTGTTAATAGCCTATAATACTTACCTGTTTTAAATCCTAAAATATGTATAATATAATATTATTATTATTATATTACAAATCGTTTTGACTAACCTGGTGTTAATTTTTAGAAATGGACATTTTTAAATCTGTTTGTGGTGGAAAGATAGGTTTTGAAGGATACACTTTTATATTGCAAAGTTTAAGGACAAAATGGAAACAGGGACTAAATAGAAATACTAATTGTGGAATTCAAAATTAAAAAGTGTGTAATGGGCCGTAATAACTAGTAACTTTTTTTACAGTTTTTTCTTCATTAATTGAAAAATTATTTGATGTTACATTGGGAAATAGATAGATAAGAATTTTAAATATTAATAATAATTATATTAGGAGTCGTTTTTACAAGTTTTATTTATGGATATAATAAATAAAATATGAAATAAAAATAATATTTTGAATAATCGGTACATTAAATAAAACAAATAATTATCAAACAATTGTGTTAATGAAGGTACCTAGTTACCTATTCTTTTGAAAGAACCATTAACATTGGTATGTTATTTTATTATCGTGATATTGATAAAACAAAATAGGTACTATTATTATTTATTGTTAATGTTTGAAAACTATTTATTATATATTATTCATTATTTAATGATAAGTATTCCTGTGTATATTTGTAATTAAATATTAACGCTGTGGACGTGGTAATTACACTAATTAGCTTTTAAAAAACATTTGATCAATCAGTTTGATGACTGATTCTAAGTAATATTGTAGTCTGGCCAGTCTGGGAAATGGGGATCATTTATCCTAGAATCGGTGATTTTTATTTCGCAACTCACTCGACACTCTGTATTAGTTTAGTTATTGTTCTATGGTTATAGTTCAGTGCATTTACTGTAAAATTATGTATTATACTATACCTAATTAGTAGGTAATTAATAATCTTACCAACTACCAATATATCGACATAAATCGTTTTATTGTGATGTTGTCTACTTGTCTGTACTCAGCTAGTAGATAAAGAAAAATAGAAATTGATTATTCTATGTTTATGTGTAGGTATGGATTAAATACACTTTTTTGTGGGGAGGGGGTGTTGGCAAATCCCCTGCGGTAACTCCAAGTCCAATATAAAGTGTGGAGTATGAAAGAAGTTATATTTTAGCCTATGCATGGAAATGTTTCATTAAAAATACAGGGACGTATTTCATGTTCCACAATTAATTCTATTGGAATACTAAAGTCTAGGGTCAAGTATTTTGAAAACGGCCCTTCCATACTTCCATAACAGCTGAACATATTTTTGGTCTTCTTTTCTTTAGTTTTTTAGTGTGTTCTTTTTTCCGATATTCATATTTCTGATATCAAAAGATTTAAAGCGTGCCTTTGTGAGGAGTTCTGTATAGGCAATAAAAATAAATAATATTAATTATCGGTTTTCGTGGTACTCTGCGTGCGTAGCAGAAAAATATGCTCATTATTCATTAACGTGTTCGGAGAATTATTGCGGATTGAAAATTACTTGTTTTTGCTTGAACACAAAGTCGACTATTTTGTATAATCGCATAGGCATATTATATTATTTTATTTGGTATTAAATTGATCAATTTCCAATCATTCATATCGTCCCGATGATTAGATTTTAATGATGAACGCATATTATGATTACATTGGAGCCCAGTGATCCTACGAACAACAATTTTCCATTTATTTATCTAAAGCTGTTGAATGTACAAACCGTTTAACATTGTCATGTATATTATGTTTAAAACATTGTTCAAAAACTGTCAGGATCTGAAGAAAACAAGACGAAAAATCTAAATCTCGTAATTAGATTGACCAAACAATTAAAATTTAAATAGGTAGGTATTTTTAGCATGAAAAACAGTAGGTTTTGAATGTCCTTAATTGATCAATTCACAAATAATTATATACAGTAGAAATCGGTTATAACGAGTTTCAAGGGCCAGCTAGTTTTTCTCGTTATAACCGGTAGCTCGTTATATGCGGTTAGAACGAAAATTCGTTGCAACCGATTAAAAGCGGAAATACAAAAATAAAACCGACGACTTTTTTTTATTTTAGATAAAAAATTTTTATTTGAGATTAATTTATACATGCATGTACACGCATTATTTATACATTAATGATTAATACATACATTTATTATTATAATTGGAGATTTAATACATAATTATAAAACACTTGAATTAATTTATTTTGATTTAATTTGATTTAATTTCTTAAAATAATCTTAGATCGAACTTTGTTGTTGCTTCGTGTTAGAGTTGATCGATGTATCTAATAAAGACAACGCTTTTCTTTCAGCATCTGTCCCTTCATATTTTGTGTAATAAAATCTATAATCCGTAAAAAAACGAAATTAGACAGTTTTTTTAAATCTTTATCTTATGAATTGATATTATTTTCAATTGTGTATGCATGAAAAATCATTAAAATGTTCTACCACAATCCACAGGCACTCGGCAAACGTGTATGATCAACGCGCCCGGGCGATAACAATACCGCCATCTACCTCCTTATTCTTTGCAACTCGCGAGCTAAAAATCTACCGCAACTGATGTGCACTTTACCTCTAGATAGCGTGTCCTTGTACGATTTTTGTTAATTAGGTATTTTACATTCAAATTATTACCAATTTCCAATGACCACCTCGGACTCGGATTAGGTTTACCACGATAATCTAACGAATGTAATCTAGGCAGCCACCCACACTAAAAGATAAAGAAAACAAAAAATACATAATAAGTGTCGGATAACATTTATTGTTTTTTTCATCTCGATATCGATAAAGTTTGAATCATATAATTACTATATAGGGTTGGCACTTTAACGGGAAACGAAGTACACGGGGGTCAGCTGATAGCTAGTCAGTGGCCTAAAATATTATAGGGTCGCAAGAGTATCTGTTTACGACTCCGAAAGATCACGATTTCCGCTTTCAATTTATTATTAAAGGATTTGTTTAACTGTGCACCATTATAAATATTGTACAGTTTATAATAAACATTCATACATAAGCGTAGCCCATGTGCGTGTGATTTAATTTTATCGTTTCTATTTTCAGAGAGAAAAAAGAAAAATTCAAATTTTGGTTAATCTTTATATTATTATAATATTTTGGCCGGGTTCTTGTGAAAATATCCCATCGTGCACCGCAACTCCGCAGAACCCTTCAAAACATCAAAATATTTAGATTAGTATATTATAATTTTCTTCGGTCATACGTATATAGTAGGTATTATTTCCCAAATTTACAAATCATAAGTTTTATTTAAACAATAAAAACACTTTTAGTTTTGTATTCCTGATCAGTATAACTAAAAAACAAAATTTTAATAAATAATTATCTTAAGTACCTACCTGTCTACCTGTATAATAATTATAATATTATGTTAAAAAATCTAGATACCTACTTTCAGATTTACATAAACAACAATAATATCGTTGCCATGAATGTTTGAAAAATCTACAATTCGTATATTTCGATTGAAATTGATAAGATGTAACGGGCAGTGGCGCAACTACCGGGGGGGTTGGGAGTGTCAAACACCGGGGCCCAAAGACTGCAGGGACCCCCGGGCACCGGCCTAAATAAAATAATCTATTTTAATATTTGATAATAAATCTCACAATAAATATAAAAATCATGACATTTTGATGTACGAATATAATTTCACGAAGTATGGACAACAAAATAAAATTATCAATTTCATAATATTTAATAAAGAAAAAGACGAATGAACTGTCTAATAATATAATCAGATAGTCTACTATCTACATAGACCTTAAACTAGTATAAGGTCTATGATAATCTAGTAATTTACTAAAAAAACTAGAATCTATGGAATTTGTTCTAATTTTATGTTTTTGAGAGCATTACACAGGGTATCCAAATCCCTTCAGAAACAAAATACAAATTTGCACAATGCATGCCAAAACTTAAATGAAGACAAAACAATTATAGAAAACCTAAGAGATAGCTATGAAAATATACTGTTGGAGTGTAAAGAATTATGCTTTAGATGGGGAATTACTCCTAACTTTGATGTTAAGAGGAGTAGACTTGCTCCACAATATTTTGATGAAATTGATGGTGATCGTCGCCTAAATATAACAGATGAAAATTTCAGGGCTAAAATTTTTCTACCCGTGATTGATACAGTTATATTTCAACTAAATTCACGGTTTCAAGGACTACAAGAAGTTACAGAGACTTTTGATTTCTTATTTCCTACAATGTTAGCTAAAATGGATGAAAATGAGATCTCTAAGGCTTCAATGGACTTTTTTTATTTATACAATGATGACATTTCTTCAGATTTTACCAGACAATTATTGTGTTTAAAAGGATTATTAAACACTAATATTCAAAAGATTAAGGATCTGGCTTTATTTATAGTTAAAAATGATTTTTGTACAACATACTGTGATGTAATAACTGCATGCATAATTTATATTTCATTGCCTGTGCCAGTTGCAACGGCAGAAAGATCTTTCGAAATTGAAATTAATTAAAAACTATTTGAGGAACAGTATGGGGCAGGATCGACTTTCTAATATTTCCATTTTAAATATAGAAAGAAATGTAACTAATCGAGTTGATTTGGAAAAAATGATTTCTACGTTTGCCGATTTAAAAACAAGAAAAAAAAATTTTCTTAAGTGAAAATAAAATACTTCTAACAATATAGTTTTCATTATATTAATCTAAATGTATAAAATATTAAAATGTATAGTATATTGTATATAAATGAGTAATGTAGTCTTAAAACTTATAATTTTTATTTGTTTTTATAAGTATATTATGATTTATGTTGTTATTTGGTTTGTAAAACTTTTAATAAATCTATTAACTTAATTTTAATATGTGGTATTGATAATGAATAGTAATTACCACTTCCATTTCAGTAAACTGATTAGAAACAGTTGTTACAACTTACAAGTGTATAAGTATAAGTTACCATTAAATATATTTCCTAATTTTTTTCCTTTTGGCAATTTATCATTTTATCGACCAAATTTTATTCACAATAATAAGCATAAATAATTTTAATTGGGGCCCCTTCGTTAAAAGTGACACTGGGGCCCCAGTTAGCCTAGTTGCGCCACTGGTAACGGGGATGCTGTGTATCATTTATATGTTATTTTACATGTTCCCCGTTACAGATCCACCCCCGCCGGCCTGTTAATTGATAAGCTATCAATCGCCAATATTTTGTGTAGCTTTTTAAACAAATTATGCATATATTCTTTAAGAAAATTATACATATTTTATTGACGGTAAGTAATTATATACCCTATTTATAGTGCATATTCATAATATATACCAATTAGTAATTACATATAGATAAGATATGACAATATGTGTTTATGCCTTTAAGGTTAAAATAGTTTTGTTGAGTTTATGTACTTGTAATGTTAAGTTTGGTATACAATAAAACATTTTAGGAGGGTGTAGGGAGGCTAAGCCCCCTAAAAGTCTATCCAACGTAGAAACTGATTGCAACCCTAACAATTTAGCCCAATTTACGCCACCACAGCTAGTATTATATTATATAAAGAAGGAGATATAAGTACGTACCTGTATATTTTATAACAGAAAAAACCTTTTTTATTAAATGTTAATATACAATAATACAGTGCATTCAATTATATTTGATTTGGGATTGTTTTGATTGGTTTCATATAGATAAAATTGTGTGCTTGTAGTGGCCAGTGGGTGGAATAGACGAATCTCCAGTGGTGCCCCACAAATCTCGCCCGGTCGGACCTCTTATTTACATTTTTTCTCGATAAAATTTAGCATATATTATCTTCTTCCCCCGAAGTCTAATCTATCTCTGTACCAAATTTCATCGCAATCGGATGAATGGTTTAGGAATGCATAAAGGACACAGGTACAAACATTATTTGTCTTTTATATATAGGTATATATAGATAGTATAAGTATGATATACAATTTATCTAACGAATCAAACATTTTTTGTGTCTTCTTGAATGTAAATTAATTTTAACCATCAACTGCATTGTGAATAGTAGTGAATATTCGGAATTATTTCGTTAAAAATGTATTGGTACTTTTGAATATTTTTTTTTTTTTTTTTTTTTTATTAGATAAAATAGAATATTTACAATCTGTAATTTTATATATACAATGAGTAAATTTGGTAATGAAAGAATACAACAACATGAATGGCTTGAGGAGGGAGGCCCACCAGTGTGGATACCCTCTAGCTTGGGGGAGAGGTTTTATTATTTATTATTATTTTTTTTTTTTTTTTTTTTTTTTTTATATTAGTGCTGGTCGGGATTCAGGAGATCGCGACACCAGTGTCTTTTTAATCGACGTGGAGGGTTGTTAGGCATGAATTCACTGGCCAAGTTGGAAATCAGTGGATTTGTGTGGTTAGCTGTTTTGGTGTGTAAATTTTTGTAGTAGTTTTTGGCTGTTTTAGAGACTGTTTCAATTTTAAGATCCTTATGTAGTGAGAGGTTTGAGACGTACCATGGCGCAGATGTTATTAGGCGAAGGGAAATAGACTGGAAGGCTTGTATAGTCCGTATTTGGGAAGGCTTGGCACATCCCCATATTTGGATGCCGTAGGCCCAGATAGGTTTTAACATAGATTTGTATATTAGTAATTTGTTATCAATAGAGAGTTTGGACTTGAGAATAGGCCGTAAAAGATGAAGTCTGGAGTTAAGAGTCTTTCTTTTGATTTTGAGGTGTGGGCCCCAAGTTAGACGCTTGTCTAAAATTAAACCTAAGTATTTGGTTTGAGTTGTGGTTTGGATTGGATTGTTTTGAAAATAGATATTAGGAAGAACAGGTTTTCTCAAAGTAAAAGGAATGTGAAAGGACTTGTCTGAATTGATTTTTATTCTCCATTTGGTGGACCATTTTGAAATATTATCAAGATGAATTTGAAGGTTTTGGTATGCTGTTGTGGAATCGGAATGGGATGAGAGGATTGCCGTGTCGTCGGCGTAAGTGGCTATCAGTGTATTTTCGGAGTTGGGAATGTCAGCTGTGTAAATGTTGTAGAGGTCTGGTGATAAATCACTTCCTTGAGGTACTCCTGCTAAGATTTGGAATTGTGATGAGAGGGAGTCTCCTTGGCGGACGAGAAATGAGCGGTTTTGTAGGTATGATTTAGTCAACAAGTAGAGTGGAGTCGGGAGGAACATTTTTAGCTTAAAGAGTAATCCGGTGTGCCAGACACGGTCGAACGCTTGTGATACGTCTAAGAATACTCCCGGACAGAAGTTTTTGAGCTCAAACGACGAGGCTATTTTGTCGACAATTCGGTGGATCTGGTGGGTTGTGGAGTGGTTTTCTCTGAAACCAAATTGGGTATTTGGAATAATTTTGTGGGACTTGAGAATGGGTCTAATTCGTTTAAGCATCACTTTTTCAAATAATTTCCCTAATACTGGTAACAGGCTAATTGGTCTGTATGAGGAGGGTTCATTTTTTGGTTTGTTGGGTTTATGTATAAGGATAATTACAGATAGTTTCCAGATTAACGGAAAGTAGGACATTCTCAACATAGAATTGTAAATGTATGTGAGAAGAATTATTGATTTTTTAGGAAGATGTTGAAGTATTTTATTTGTTATTTGGTCATGTCCAGGTGATTTTTTGATTTTTAACTTTTGTATTAAGTTTTTTATTTCTCTGGGAGATGTGTGTTTGGTAGGGAGTGACATTGGTAGCGGGCTAGTAAGGAAGTTTGTAATTTGGTTTAAGTGACTTGGTTCGGGAATTATATCGTGATGAGGAGTAAATATTTCGGATAGGTGTTTACCAAAAGTGTTTGCTTTATCAATATCTGAGAAGGCTAAGGTACCGTCTGTTTTTTTTAAATGGAAGGGATGATCTTTTATTTTTAAAATATTTTTGGTGGTTCTCCATAAGGATCCATCTTTAGAACATAAGGACTCGTATTTGTGTTCGAATAACTCGGATTTGTGGATTCGAATTTTTGTTTTTATGGTATTGGACAGGTGATTCTATCTTTTTTTGTCGGATGGTAGTCTGGTGTATTGCCAACGTGAGCGTGCACGACGCTTTTCGATAATTAGGGCTTTTATGTTGGGAGGTAAATCATATTGATTTGAATTTGGTGGTTTGTTTGGATTAGGAGTATAAGATGAGTTGGAGATCGCTGCTCTTATTGAGTTGACAAAGTCTTGAGACGCTATTTCAATTTCACTGGTGTTTTTTAGAGAGATTTTTAAGTTTGTGTTGTTTTCTAAGATGGTGGAGAATTTTTCCCAGTTGACAGGACCTTTTACGAGGGAGGGCCGGGGAGGTTTGCAGGTCATTGAGCCGTTTATTTCAAGGATGACTGGAGTATGATCTGATGAAATTTCACAACTATTTTGAATTTTGTGTCTTATGTGTTTTGGAATTGAGGTGAGAAAGAAGTCTAGTATGTCAGGCTGACGATTTGTGTGAGTAGGCCAGTAGGTTGGACAGCTTGGAGATATAAAAGAGCCGCCTAGTTTTTGAATGTTGTCAAGAAATAATCTCCCTCGAGAGTTTGTCAATCTGCTACCCCATTGTGTGTTCTTAGCGTTGAAATCGCCACCGGCGATAAATGAGCGCCCGAGTGACTTTAAGAAGTTTTCAATTTGAGGGGGCGTTATTGCCGGTAGAGGAGGGCAGTAAACAGAGGATAGTGTAGTTGGAATATGATTTAGTACGATTTGGATATTCGTTGCTTGTATTGATGGCAGTTGGAGGCTTTGAAGTGGATAATGTTGGATTTGGTTTGAAACTAAGATGGCGGATCCCGCGTGGGCGGTTCCGTCAGGGTGGTCGGCTCTGTAAACTTGGAACCCAGGGAAAAAGTGATTAGTATTGGAAGTGTAGTGAGTTTCCGTTATTAGTGCAATGTCAATTTTACTTTGTATTAAAAGGTGTAGTAATTCAGGTTCGTTTTGTTTTAAACCGTTTGCGTTCCATAGTATAATTTTTAAAGACTTAGTATTGGGGGGATTAGTACTCATCATTTGAAATTAATTTGTTGATTACTGTGGTGAGCAATTGGATTAGCGGGTTGATTAGTAACTTCATTTCAGTTAAAAATGTGGACATTAGTTTTACTATGTTATTTTCTTGCGTGGGATTGTGTGTTTCACGTTGTGAGTACTTTGTTTTTGGGTGTGTTTCAGGAGGGGGTTTATTGGGAAGAGGGGGGAATGCATTTAAGTCTTGTGTGATTGGTGTAGTCAGGGGAGTGTCCACACTGGGGTCCTGACCCGAGCTTACATTGTTAGCATAAGTTACATTGTTAATTTTAGATTTAGAATTTTTAAAGAACAGACTTGAATTTCGATGTAAACGCTGGAGATTTTTGTGTGAAGTGCATCCACGGTAGCTGGCGGTGTGGTTGCCTCCGCATAAGGTGCATGTTGGTGGCTGGTCTTTGGGCTGGGTGCAATTGGCGGTTAGGTGCTGTCCTACGCAACGAACACATCTTGGTGGGTGGGCGCAGTAGGTTTTTGAG